GGTTTGATTGGCTAGCACTTGTACTGGCATATGATTTGATTGGCTGACGCTTCCGTTGACGCTTCAAAAGTTGAACTTTTCTCAACTTTCGAAGCGAGCAACGGAGGCAAAGCGATGCGACGGAACCACAATGCAGTTCGGCAAAGCGTGACGCCACCCCAAGTGAATGGGAAGCGTCTCCGTTGAAGCACGTGATGCTGCCGTGTGGACGTACCGTTAAGTCCCTTGAAATATAAACTGCATATTAATCGAAGGTATTAATACCTCTGTTTAAATCCACCAGTGGGGTAACACATTCCGAAAACCATTGACATGTCAGTTTTTCATCTAATTTACACTGCTCTCCTGAAATATTTTAATTTGAAATATAACCAGGCGAGTGTTTCACATGTTGTTTAATCGTCTCTCCTCGGTGTGTACGGGCCTTTAGCCACACCTCTATTCTCACTCCTGAAAACACGCTAGGTGACGACAGAAATTTCACTAAATTGCATCTTTTGAGAATATTTTGAAGCGACTGAGTTAAAGGCGACTTCAGTCCTGTTGAACCCTGATGGACATGATATAAATAAAAGTCTTGACAAGTTTACGTTTTAAAGAAATCTCTGTTCGATTGACCTCCATCTCGATGCAAAAACTTAGAGGAATTGATACATATGTGTAAGCAAGTAGACATTAGTGCATGTTAAACATCTGCGGGGGAAATTAAGTTTCAGGACGAAATTTAGTGGAACAAAAAACACGAAAGCAGTGAATAACAATTAACAACTAAAAAACACACTGCGATCTAAGTGTTCCTGTGGAGTGATTTCTCTGTGATTGTTAATTCATGAAGCTAACCCAATATGGGTAAATCCATAGCCAATTGTTTTGTTTTTCATACATTCGCACACACACATAATAAAATGGCAACCAGCTTTTTTGCATTTTCACTATCAGAAAAAGCTGCCAGATACAACTCTTAAATCTGAGGACAAATAACACTATTACAAAAACAGCAACAGGTAACAGGTGTAAAGAACAAAGGAGCCTCAGTGCAGGAAAGTTACAGCTGACTGACAGGTGTGTTAAGCCCCGCCCCCTTAGTTGATGTTGCTGCGCTAGTAAACGTTTCTGTTCTTGTTCACCTGCACTATCTTTAATGTCCAGCAGGGGACTTTTCTGATTTAATTGAAGTCTATGAAAACATTTTCTTTATTTACCTAATTTTCCTGAAGAGTTCAGGGTCTCAAAAGCTAGATTTAAGTCTGGTTCAACACAGCATGATTTTCATTATGGTCCCATTTAGAGTCAAATAGACGATAAGCTGGGTATGCTACTTGTACGTCAGGTTAGAGACGTAGCCTCTGGTCTAAATGTGTAGCCTTTAACAGGCTTTTAAATATACTTGTCATGGCTACATGCTAAGCTAAACAAATAGCTCCTGTTAATGCAGACCCTAGCTAGCTAATGTTACCTGGAGTCTGCTAGAGCAGGACAAAGCCGCTAATATTCACATAAAAGTGAATGAATGAATGAGCCAAAGCTAATGCCGTTAGCTCATGACATGCTAACTCTTTTCATTGAAAGTAAGGCTTGGTTTCTAAGGTAAAGACAGCTAGCTGGACGTGCTAACGTTTGAGCAGTTTAGTAATGAGCTGTTTACCTATAACCTGGAAAACTAAGAATATATGGAAGTTGAAAAATGCTCCACTTTAAGGAATGTGACTGACGGATCTGTCGTGCCTGGCTGTGATTGGACGTCACCATTCAGGGGGGCGGGTCTTATTCAACAGTCAATTTTACAATTTACAAACTCATAACTTGCATTGATTTTCCACCCAAACATAAAAAATAAAACATATTGAAATGAGCTGGACTCAATTTAATTATCATCAGCAAGGGTTTTTTAGAAAAAATACATAAAATAAAATACTGAAAAGACACAAAACCAGATCCCCAAAGCAGAGCAGTATTGACACAAATCACACCCCCCCCCCCCCCAAACCCAAACACAAGTAAGTAATATATACAGGGAAGGTAATTATTATTAGTACTACCTACCTTACTTACACTATACACCACCACTAGTACGAACCTAACGTACCGAACTTCTTTACTTTACAAACTAAAGTAGACGCTACGTACCGCCGGCTACTACTACTTTATTTTTATTGTACGTACACACTACTACTACTACTATTAGTCGTCGTTCTACCTAAATAATTATTTTTAAACTTTTACTACCAATTACGTTTCTTACTACTTATTACTTACTTAGAGAGTAAGGAACCGGACCACCACCACTTCGTTCCGGTCGTAACCACCTACTATTTAGTTTAT